CCAATAAAAAAAAACAAAAAAAAAAAAAAAAAAAAAAAAAAAAAAAAAAAAGGGTTTAGGGTTTAGGGTTTAGATAAAAAAGAAAAAAAAAAGGGTTTAGGGTTTAGGGTTTAGATAAAAAAGAAAAGAATAAACATCTCTACCTTTTAAATGGTGTTACACCTACCCACACAACTTTTCGGATTTTTCGAATTTTTAGGGTTTAGGGTTTAGGGTTTAGGGTTTAGGGTTTACCTGTATAGCATACTTCTGGATACAATATCTAATTCAGCATTTGCTTCATCTAATAGATAAACCCTCCTAGGGTTTGCTAAATTAACCACTAATTGTGCTCTTTTCTTCTCCCCTGTTGATGTATATGCTACTCGCCATAAAGGGTTTAGCTGCATATATACAAAACCCTAAACCCTACACCCTAAACCCTAAACCCTAAACCCTAAACCCTAAGGTATTGTACATATATAAATGAAGAAGGAAACAGAAACACACGGTAACGGGTTAATAAACCCTTCTAAACCCTAAACCCTAATAAACCCTACTAAACCCTAATTCAGGGAGAGTGAACGAAATAAAGGAAACCCTAAACCCTAAACCCTAAACCCTTACCTGTAGCAAATGTAGTAAAGTATTAGCTCTCCATACACTACATCTAAACCGCTCATTACAACAACAAGAAGGGAATTTTTTTTTAGGGTTTTGTTTTTTAGGGTTTTCTTCATTAGGGTTTTGTTCCTCATTAGGGTTTAGATCTAAACAAGAAGATATCTTAAGAAAAGGATATAAAACATCTCCTATACCCACATCCATAGTAAAACCTGCAAAAAAAAAAAAAAAAAAAAAACGTAAACCCTAATTTAGGGTTTAGGGTTTAGGGTTTAGGGTTTACATTTTTTTTTTTCACACACAAAAAATTAGGGTTTAGGGGTTGGGGTTTACCGCCTAAACCCTAAACAATAACACATAGAAATCCACCCAACTATCCAGAAACCCTCAGGGTTTAGGGTTTACACTTTTAAAGGAATAAGAAAAAATTAGGGTTTAGGGTTTAGGGTTTATGGCTTACTTCCTGACCACCAAGTGTTTATACAACAAACGTCTGTACCTAAAGAAGGATCACGAAAGGCATTCTTCCCTAAGACAAGAACTTCTCCACTTTTAGGCAGCTGAGCGCAAACCCTAAACCCTAAACCCTAAACCCTAAACCCTAAACCCTAGAGGGATATTTTTTTTTTGTCAGTTTTAGAAGTGTTTACAAATAAAATTAGGGTTTAGGGTTTAGGGTTTAGGGTTTAGGGTTTACCTTTTGTCCTCCTAATATAGATATAAGGGTACTTTTTCCTGCACCATTGCTGCCTACAAGAAGAACCCTAGACCCTTGTTGTATATTAAAAGAAAGATTATAAAGAGAAAACCCTCGAGGGTTTGGAGATGAGGGTTTATCTGGGGTTTGGGGGCTGCTGCTACTCGTGCTGGTCCTGCTGGTCCTGCTGGTCCTGCTGCTGCTGCTGCTGCTGCTCTCAGCAGCAGCAGAAGCAGCAGATTCTGTTTCTGCTGCCTTAGCAACAGCAACTAATTCCTTTATTGTAGCTAATGGTAAACACTTTTCTTCATGAGCAGAAGAACAAAAACCCCCAAAAGGAGATTCGCCAACCCCGTAGGTATGGTATAAACCCTTGCAAGAAATTGCTACCTCCATCCTAAACCCTAAACCCTAAACCCTAAACCCTAAACCCTAAACCCTAAATTCTTGTAACCAAAAAAAAGTCTAATGGATTTAAAAACGCAAATTAAAAATGTAGGCGTAGGGTTTAATTATACACAGATAATATAGTCATGGATCGACAAACCCTAAACCGTAAACCCTAAACCCTAAACACCAGTGACTGCAAAACCCGCAGAAAATATGCGCTGTTATGTTATTTAAATCCAATAGATTAACCGTAAATATAAAAATATATATAGACGAGGAAGTCTAAACCCTAAACCCTAAACCCTAAACCCTCAGGTGACTCTGTGGGGCCCCATGGGGCTGGAGCAGCGGCTAGGATGGGGGTTTAGGGTTTAGGGTTTAGGGTTTGTACATGGAGGTTGGCCTGTCTTCTGTGCATGCAAGATGTTTATAAACCCTTTGTTGCTGCATTTTAAGTGTATGCGCACTTTTTCCTTCTTGTGTCTTTGCACCATTTACCTCGACCTTGAATT